AATAAAAATTCAAAGTAATTTGCTATACAGCAAAGAATATACAGGCATATTTCTAAAAGCATGTGTTTTTAAGAGTCACTTTTTTCCCCCAGGAGGCTTCTTCATCAACATTAAGCATTTCTTAGCCTTAATACATATTTGAGATTAAGTAGGTTCATATCGCAGAGATACAAATGACAGAAAACAGCAGAACACACCAGAAGCAGTGGGCCTAGTTCTGTTTGCCCTTTAGCAGCTAGGAGTCAGATCACTCACAACTTGAAGAAGTGACTGCTCAATTCCCTGCTCCATCTATAATGCTTCTTTCCTGCTTCAGGTAAGTTCTTATTCAACAAAAGTACCAGAATGCTAGAGGGCTTAATGAACAGATTGCTCAGCCCCAGAGCCAGCGTTTCTGATCCCGGAGTCTGGGCACTGAACAATTTGTGTTTCTAACAAGTTGTTTTCTTGAGTAATGCTGATGCTTTTTTGCTGGTTTAGGGACCACACTTTGAAAGTCACCCGTCAACAGTTAAGGTCACTTGGGCTTAAAAATCTCAGTGTCATCCCATTAGAAATCTTTGGGAAAGAACAGGGTCACAAGACCCTTTTTTGGAAAGAAATATCACATAAATAAGCACGATATAATTAATAGAAAAAAGAAAGCCAATGAACATAATAGTATTAGTAGAAGCACATGCAGTTGACCAAATAAGGTACAAATCTACATTAATATAATTCTGGGGTTTCCTATTATTTAATGATTATCTTCCAACTGTTACATAACATGCAGTAGTTATTAGTGTAATGTTGTTATCTGAACCCAGAATTCTACACAAAGGATTTTCTGTCGGCAACCAAGGTCCCTAGAGAGAAAAAAGTACACATTTGGATTTATAATTAAAGGCCGTGTGAAACTCTCAGTGGAATCCGACTCTGAAGGTCCACTGTGATATTCTAGTTTTCACCACGAAACCAAACAGGGACCTGGAGTTTATGCTGTCTTGGGGTCACCTGGGAGACTACACGTGGTCTCTATAGTAGCCAGGGCACATCGTCCGCCTCACACTGAGACCTGCACTAGCTCTGGGAGAATGTACGTGTCACATCTACAAGGGACG